CTAGATGACTACTTCATATCAAGCTGGTCTTAGGGTTAAAGCAAGTAAGATGGAATTGTTCTGGAGCACAAATAGTCATAAGGTTTAGTTTCAACATAAGAGCATTATAATGTATCCACATAGATCAGTAGTAGATTCAAGATCACAGAAAACAGTATGTTGTACACTTTCATGATACTGCAAGTTCACTTGTCAAAGATTACTTGATTCAACTGACTAGATTGTCTCGAATTGATTATTTGGAGTTACCCATCTCTACAAATGCAACACAACTATCAGGGGACAAAGAGATTCTTTGTGATCGGGATTTCCAATGAAATAAGCTTCTGAAAGGTTGTACGTCGACGTTTTCCGAAATGAAGTGACGACTAGTTGCTTCATCATACTATCATGAGGTAACAAATAAGTTCGTTTCAAGAATCAAAAGGTAAAGATTAGTCTCAAACATGTAGAAGCAAAATCGAAAATCGACCATTAAAGTAACTCGATACCCTATTTGTTGTTCAAAATCAGGACCGTATATAGTTCTACTGAAAGTAATGTGCAGGAATAGTCGTAAGTGTGCAAATGATGCCCTTTTATTTTGTAAAGTCAACAATACAATTTTCCTGTATGGTAAAAAATAGGTCAAATTCGTACTTTTATGACGAAAACTATTATTAATATTCCATGTACCACTCAGTAATACAGTATAACTTTCAATTGTTGTTGTTGTTGTTGTTGTTTACAATTCCAAGTAACTAAAACAATGACACTTTTCCGCTCATGCCAACAACGAAGAAAACAGTAAAAGATAGAAGCAGGAATCATTCTCTTTGTAGAATTGATGACTATGCCATACTGTACTAGGCTTGGGCTCATATTTGTTGTTGTTGCTGTTCTGGTTGAATTTCAAGTAGTGGCGAATGGTTTGATTTTGCTGCGATAGTCGAATAATGTTTTAGGTTCGTGTCAATGTATTTGCAAACCACTTTGATCGTCTGCGTATGCTTTCTAGGAATTGTTTACCAAAAGTTGGACTTTATCTTCAGAGTCAAACCAAAAACTCTAGTCGGACACGATGACATCAATGTGTACACTTGTGTAATATTGTTGAAGTTCAACCGATCCTTCGTGAGTTTCTTTCAGAGCTACTTTGTATACTATCCAAACGCAAGCTGTTTGCACAAAATGTGAAGTTTCCTTTTCACTTTTTGACAGCTACAACTACCACTACTTTGAACAGCATGATTTTCAGTGTGTTGAAATGAAAAAAAGATCAGCAGCACTCTTGACACGGCAAATACTGTTTTACACAAGTCGCCTTGTTTCCCATTCATACCTTCCTACTACTGTTACCCTCCTCTTCAACTATATAAGGACCAAAGACGATTTGCAATAGATGCCTTTCAGAAACAGCAGCAATACTGGCTTCAACACTATCACTCTTACGACTTACATATTCTTTAGACAAAACTTAACTTTTGGTAAACCCAGTAATTCATAAAAACAAAGGCGTTTCTCAAAACGGACTAGTAGCTACAGTCGCCATCGTCAAAACATTTTACCCAGGTGAACACAACCAAGATTTTCAAGTGTCCTTTTGCTTGCTTCATTTCATGGTTCCCAACAAGGTGAGTATATTTTGATATGAAAACTTTTCCCTTGCTTTCAAAATACAAGTTTATTCAGCTTTCGTTATCTAAAGCCCTCTATTCGTAATATTTCAAAAGACATACTCGTATCAATAGAGAATTGATATAAAAGCACAACAATACAAACAATCATTGAAAGTAAGCAATGATGGACTCAAAAGACTTTCCTATGCTATCCTGAGAAATGCCTGTTGCAGAGTTACAGACCGAGTTTTCCATCTTGAAAAGAGTCACATAGAAGACAAAAAACTAACATACAAAAAGTTAATCTGTGAACTGACCAAAACACTCAACTGAGAGTTTGACTGGTTTCTTGTTCTTGTAGAATATCTTTGAAATAATAGCCCCAAGCCTGATTCTCAGAATCTCAACAACAGACTACAGGACTTTCAACTGCTAATAAATACGCAAAAATGCTCTGTAACAATTATCGATAAAAATAAACAAACTTGTGAGACAACTAATTGATTAATCTACCAACACTCAACGACAGCTTATACTCCTTTGTCTTTGCTCTCTTCTCGACAACGCTAATCTCAAATTTCCATACAAGACCAGAAGTGAAATAACAACAAGTCTTGCATAAAGTATATAAACTCCAAAGAGATAATAAAAGTTGTAAATACTAAAAAGAAACTACAGTCTACATGGAACTCAGAGCACAGGAATCTATGGATTGTTCTAAAAGAAACATTTGAAGGGCTTAAAAAAGAAACTTAGATAATAGAAATTCACTTGTCCAACTAAAACGAACGACGAATTTGTTTTAGAAATTAAAGTCTGAAAAGTTTCACTAGCAAACTTGAATCAGGTCCACAGCCTTGACAACACTCACTGAGCCTTCCTTTTTATCCAATAATCAAACCATTGTGTTGCATTTCTAATTGGATTGTTCTGAGAAGGATCGCTTTGTATTGTCTCCTTTCACTGGAGATATATTATTTTGAGTGACTAGTGAGTTTTATGAAAGAAAATATTTCACTTGGAGATATGTAAAAAGTTTCTGGAACTATAAGTGTGCTAGATACAATCAATTTCACATCTCAGTATTGTTGTGAAACGAGAAGAACAGTGTCGTAACAAAGGTCCTCTCAACTCCCTTGCGACACTGTAGCCTTTTAACAGCGTTGAGTTTGATCAATCTTGTCTCTGCAAGGTAAATTTTAAACTACTTGTGAGCCTATTTTGATAACAAACCAAGAACGGTTTTGCTACAACCAGTTTTTGACTCGTTCTCGTTCTGAGAACCTTTCTTTGTTGGTCACTCAAAATTTAGGAAACTGCATAAAGGTGTAAAATTGTCATTTTCCAATTTCAATGACATTAACTCTGTTTGGCTTGCATTGTGAGAACTATAACCTTTCCTTCTATGCAAAATACGCTCAAGGAGCAATCTTGTTCGATTACGAGTTGTAAAGAAGAATAAATCATATATTCAACCGTAGAATTGGAAAGTATACAGAGAACAGGACGATAATAAAAAACTGACCAAAGGTTGGGAATACTTTTGTCTATACACAAATTCGTACATAAACTACCTACGATAAGTAGGATCGAACCTCAAACGATTCAAGGCTATTGGTTCGTTCTCCACGTAAAGAACTTGTTGAGATTTTTTGACTAGTATAACAACGGTAAAAGTGGCGATGCTTTCGCTTCTCCTTGCACATATATTTCAAGATTCACGTTTCTTTGTTACTTTGCAAAGAGGAGATGAAAGATTCTTATTTTTCCATTATTTCTACGTTTATATTCTTTTCTTTTCACTAGGAGACGAAATTGATCCAGTATATTTAAAAGAACAAGACCTTTACCAGTTTGGATAATAACCAAAATATCATTTAAGATTTGACTCTGCAAAGGAATCAGATAAATTTTTTTGTTTTATTCTGCTGAATATTGTTTGCGAGTTGACGACAATTTTATTCTTTGTAGAGCAACTTGGATAAATCAGCGTTTCTCTTCTTTTTCAAGCTTGACTTGCCCCTAGTAGAAATGAACATTCCTTCTATTGATAGACTCGTGTTTTATACGAAACGTTGAGTTGTCTTTGATTCTCGTCACAAATATCCAAAAGGAAGCCTCTACTAATGTACCCATCAGGTTATACTTCGCAAGAGTCTTCTTTCAAGTGCCTAACGCAAGGAACTTTTGTATAGTGACTCACTTATTCAATGATCTGATGGTTGAGAATGGAAGAAGAATAGGACTCAACTGGACAAATCGTTCTTTGAATTTGCAGAGCTTTTAAAAGTTTTACTTTTTTATATTGGAAGAGATAGTAGCCCTCTTGGAGTTATATCGTTCCTAAAGCATCTTTGTATTCTTTATAGTTTGCTTTCTTGTATATGTTTACAATTTGTGGTTTTTACAAAGTTCAAAGTTGATGGTACAAGAGGATGCAGTGAAAACCTTTAATCCTAAACAGTCATGTTTACCTTCAAAAACACCTCAACTGTATAGTCGACTATTGAGGAGAAGGAATTCAACTATGATTCAAATGTTATGCAATGACAAGATACGAGAAGAGAATCGATAGAATAGACTCAATTCGATTGAATTGAATTTCTTGAAAAATATCTTTTCTCCTCTTAACAGAAGTCACAGTATCAAATGCCACTATTTTCAGAGGAGAAAGAAACAGGAGTTATTGACTCTTACAGAAATTGAGTATTGATGATACACTTGTGTGAGTCAATGTTGTTTCTGAGATTTGATAAAATCACGAATATTTTGGATCCTTCTTTGCACATTTGTTTTGGTTTGTCTTTTGCTATCATCAACTTTTGTAGCTTTTGTGATAAACTGCTACTTGTCATGATATCGTGAGAAAGGAATTTGATGATTGCTGAGAATAAAGGAGTGTTGTGCTTGCGGGTTTCTGCATTTCTACTAAATAATATACTTCAACTGGAGCTTTTGAATAGACTACAGAAGAGAATGACTTGGTTCATAATCTAGTTCCGTGTTTCGAAATGAAGCAAAGGTGACGTAAAAACTATTCCATAAAATACAGAAAATCTAGAGAGAGACGTCTACGGAATAAATTCTTCATGAACAATCTATATTACTCGGAACTCTCATGACTACTCTCGAAAATTCTGAAAGAAACTTTCTTATCTATGTGAGAATGGGCCATGTTTAATAGCTTTATACTCTCAAAGAGCATAAAAAACTTGTGAAATAAACATTGGCTTCCTTCCAATCCTTCTTTTACCCTATGAGAGTTGCCATTATTTTAGCATACGAGAATAAGAATATCGATAGTTGAAAAAGCCATATTGATCGTTTTTCCATAGTTCAAGTCATCTCAGTCCACGCCATAAAGGGTATGACATAGTCATCAGTTGATAAAGAGAAGAAGTTGGATTGGTATCCTTTACTGTTTTCCTCGATTTTGTTTTTGTCGGCCACCAGTCCAACATTCATTTGTTTATATTTGTACTCCGAAATAAACAGAAGATTGTTTAATTTCACTTTGGCGATGGCGAGTTTTGATGAAAAGTGGAAAGCTGTGGACAACTTTGAGCCTGTTGTGGTAGATCGTGAAAGAGATGTTTTTCGAGTGACAGAAGAACTGTATGATCTTCATAAAGGCCGAAAGCAACTCAGGGGTGTAACAAGTAGTTGCGACTATCGCTTGACGATACCATTTGCCCCCCATCTCTTTGGCTCGGGCAAAACGACCTTTGCCCGAACCTATTTGGAGTTGGTGCAAAGGTTTGGTGAAACTTTTCTGTCGACGTTTGCTTCGGACCCTTTGAGCAGAACCTTTTTGGAGAAGCTGAAAAGGGCTTCGTTGCTTTATGTGGATTTAAGGGAGTTGAAGCCCACAGAACCGAAAGAACGCAACCTAAAGTGGGCAGTATACTATTTATTGTACCGATCAGCTTGTAATCAGATGGGTCTACCGTTTATGAAGCCTGATGAAGCCTACAGACACATTCCTCTCTATCCAAGCTTTCTAATTCCAGAGCTACGGAAGACTTTGGGCATTCCTTCCGATCAATATCTTTTGGTAGCTTTTGATGAAGTTGGTGTGTTTGATACAAAAGCAACTTTTTTTGAACTGGAGAAGAATGACAAAGGTGTGGTTCGACCATACAACGACTTTTTCGGTATCATTAGTCAATTGTGCAAAGAACCCGACTTGTTTTTTATAGTCAATTGTGCAAAGAACCCGACTTGTTTTTTATAGTTAGTTGTGCAAAGCACGGGTTTAAGTATTAAGAATGATGTCTCTATCATGTGTTTAAAGTCATACTACATTTTATCCCTTTATCACCTTTGGACGCTTCCAGTATCGTTGAATTCCTTGAAAAGAGTCTTCTAAAGACACCTACTCAAGTTCCGGTTTGTAATGTCTTATGTAGTTCTTCATTTTCAGTAAATGAATTGGCAGATTCGTTATTGGAATGTACAGGTGGAGTTCCTGGTTTGTTGACTCGTGCAGTGAATATGCTTTTGAATTATATAATAGCAAGAAACCAGCCTTTCATATCGAAAGAAGAATGTTTGACTTGTATGAATGACTACGATTTCCGAAGAATTTGTGCTGAACCATTTGTGGAACGAATATTGAATTTGGACGAAGATAGAAAAAGTGTTTTTGATTTACTTTTGATGATGGCTCTTTATCGTATACCGTTTCAAGTAGATGACATATTGACCTCGGAGTCTTATCTATTTGATGCAGTCACTGAAATGGGACTATATCGATATCCTATTGACCAGAATACTTTTCAAGTCCTGATTCCAAAAGTATTTGTTGGAATCTTCAAGAAGCTATCGTCTATTTCCCCTATGGAAAAGATACTTCTTGGATCACTTGATTTAGAACCAGTAGATTGTTTCTTCTATTCAAAGTGTCGTGTATTTGAAGGAATTGTTGCTTTACGACTAGTTTTGATGTTGTCTTCAAAGAATCGAAATGAGTTGAGGGAATTGTTTTGTCAATTGTCTCCGATATGGAAACAAATGAAACTTCCAATCAGTACAATATCACCTATTCACTATATGAAGTCTGTTGTTAGTTCTATAGAAACAAGAAATGAATCGTACAAGAGTCGACGAACTTTTGCCAATACTGAATGGAATAAGATTATTCGAGAGACACTTTATTTAGAGACTATTTACATTCCTTTGGACGCTACTTCTCATAGTCCTGATATTATATTCAAATTACAATCTCCTGTGGAACCCAAAGTTCTTACTGTTGGAGTTGCTTGTAAAGGACGTTGGAGGTCGGAAGGAATTGGCTGGTCAGATATTATAGATGAAGCCAAGAAATTTTTAGATCCTGTTTATGATCAAGTCTTATCCAGTGCAGTGGATTCTCATCATTGTATGCTTATTATCGTTAGTACAAAGTTATCCTTGAATGTTTCTAATGAGTTGGGTAATCAGAGTCGTTGTTATTCCAGTGGAATGTTTATTGGAGGTGATTCGTTCAAAGTACCTGATAATTGTGAACTTGTTATTCTTTGTGAAAGAGATGTCCAAATGCTGATTGACGAAGAAATATTGAGTGGACTTGAAAGAGTATTTTGTGTTTCTCATAATCCTCCTTTTTGGGATTTTGGATTAGATTTACTTGATAGAATCCGTAACAGTTTCTTAAGTTGGCAATAGATTCTAACTCAATCCTTCCCTTTGTTTTGAAGAGCAAATAACCTTTTTTTTGTATGTTTGAAACGTGATTATTACAACTTATTTGCTTGTCTTTTGGAAACCATACAGTCTCCTTCGAAAAGATTCTATGAGCTGGCTTTCAAGGCTGGCTTATAATCGTTTCGTGTCAATTTGCAATAATATTGCAGAGTTGTAACAATGATTCAAAATGAATAGACTATACATACATACATGTTGATACAACTAGAATGAAAAATATCCTTTCTTGTCCAAATACTTAGTAAAGTGGTTACCCAAAGGATATCTCAAAACATTCTTCAAGTGTCTGCTATGTTGTCTTTCTAGTCTGTTGAAAAAAGACTAGTAACTTTTTTACTATAATTTTCAAAGACTGAGACAGAAAAAGTTGTTTGTAGATTTCACTTGGACTGTCCTTCTTGTCTTTTGTTAACTGAATAGAAGAGAGTTTTCTTGGTTTTTGGACAACAAACGAAGGGAATGGCAGCAAAAACTTGAGGCTTCCTCTAACTTGAGAACCTGCACTGCGGTCTCAAAAAGAGTTTTAGCTTCTTGAAATTCGATAAAAGTTTAGATTCCTTTCGTTTTTAATAAGTTTTTTTCAAACTGCATTTCTAGCCTTGGAATTCATATGAATGGCTTCTACAAATATGAAACGTATTGGAACCAAGAGAAAATATAGCAAAGATAAGAACAAATACTAAAAAAAGTATTTTAGTTTGCAATTCAAACTCTATCTCAAAAGTAGTCACGACACTATATATCCAAACTCTGTTTTAGTGAATTAGACTGAAAACTCACCGACTCTTAGATAGGGAAAGTAACCCGGTTGCAAAGATGATATTCGATATAAAAAATTTCGTTTGACTATTAATAGAACAAGAGCATCTTAAATGATTCTACCCATGTGACAAACAGAGAAAAAAACTTTCTATTTCAGACAATCACCATTTACATAGGAGTTCTATTTATATTGCATTGCAAAGGACAAGTTTGAGAGTGGAACAGAATTGTTTCTAATTAGTCAAAGGAAACCATATCCAATCTTGAAGTATTGTCATTCTATAACAATCACTTGACCGATAACTTAGGAACTACAAAGTCTTTCAGCCAAGAGTCATGTTGGGTAAAAGTTCTTCAATATGGAGTGGCCTTCAGTTGGAGAATTGCTGAAGCTTTCAAGTTAGTACACTACTCGACCTTGACTCAAGTATAAAAGGCTTCTTCTTTAGTAAATTATTTTTTTGGCTCAATCTTTTACTCTTTTTTCAGCATCGATGTGCAGAAAATGAACGGTTATAGTTACTATATTTGAAGCCTTAATTGATGTCCTTATATAAGACATATTCACAACTTGTTAAAAGTCGAACAAAGGATAGACAACTTGTGTAGCTATTACATCCATAATGGCTTGTATTTAATGATAAGTCAGTATGACAATCTTCATCATACTCTTCTCCAAATTCAATTAGATACTTGTTGTGTTTGTAACACTGTGCTACGACCAGTTCCACACGAACAGACTTCCCATTCATTGCAATTCTCTGTTTCCCACTGTCTTTCGTCTGTAACTTACAAAAGGTTTGTATCTTATTAGACTTGTATATAGGAGTTTGCGTGTAAGATGATATGGAAGATAGTAGAACAACTCTCTTACAGTATACAAGCCATAGAAATAGTACCCATCAATCTAATTCACCACAAAAACTCATAGAAACCTATTTCTTGTCTATTGTAAAAGAAAGTTTCTAGTTATGACAAGCAAGAAAATATTCCTGCTTTCTCTCTGTTGTCATTGTGAGTCTGGAAGTGTCAAAGAGATCAGTTTTACCAATCACCAAATAAAGCAACCGCTCGAACAATAAAACATACACTCTCTTCCATCTCCTTTGAAAGTTTTTCGGTCATTGATTTATTCATTGCTTGTGAATTGATTTCGGATTGGCGGCGGCGTGTAAAATGAGTTTGAACGAACCGTTGATAGATAGAAAAGAAGATGCTTATTCTATTCTTCGAACTTATTACGACCAGTTTTCTTCAGCTGGGGGAAAATTAGATCTTTTACGTCCTGCAGCTTGCTTCTCCCCTCACATTTTTGGGGCGGGCAAAAGCTTTGTAGGTCAAAAATTTTTAGAGTTTTTTAAAAAAATTCGCCGACGAAGAAGAAGAGCAGACGAAGACGGAGGTTTTCAACAAGAGCTCGTCGGGAAAAGTTGATGCGAAGATTTTTTCTTGGAAGCACTTTGCGGAAAACACTTTGTCAGTTTGCTTTAAACTAGGAGAGAGCTTTTCTCGTGCTCCTTTTCCAAGGTTTCTAGAGGCTTTGATGTATAATATAATTTTGAACGCTTACCGACAAAATGGTAAAGATACGGACGCTCTTCAGATAGCTGAAAGGACGGTAAAGAATTTTGATATCGTAGGAGCTATTGATTATCTTCTCGAACAATTTCAGAAACAATATTTATTTTTGATGATAGACGAACTTAGCCACCTGAGTGACCTCACCAAATACTATAGTGAACTTACCATGAAACAGTTTGTCGAGTCCGATCCTGGTTATATCCCGTATCGCAAATTTTTTCGAACTGTATATGAGTTGCTTGATACAGGAAAAGTTATCTTGTATCTTGCTGGGCGAACTGCTGAAATCTCAGCCCGCCTGTCTGATGCTCGCTCCAGTAGAGTGAGTCTCCGTATGTTGCGGTTGAATCCCTTTAACCTCCATGATATTAACGAATATATTGAGCTGGCAACTTATGATGGAAAGTCCTTGAAGGACTGTTTATTGCCCTCTGATGAATTACGATATCGATTCGTAGAATTGTTGAAGAAGAAGACAGGGGGTATTCCGTTGATTGTAAAGAATACTTTACTAGCCCTAGTAGGGAAACTTGCAAACTTATCTCAACCTGTTATCAACGATGACAATATGGAATTTTTATTAGATAGTGTCTTTGCAGATATACTAAATGAGTCGGGAACTTTTATTATTCCGGAGATATTAGATTCCGCAACCCTTCTTCGATATGAATTTGTCTTTTTGAGTTATCAGCTCGGAACGGTTTTTCCAGTCGGATTTGCAACTACTCTATGTGGAACGAGAACTTATTTGATGGACTTGGTTGCAACTTTTGGGTTTTATTCTGAAATTTGTGAAACTGACGGGATTGATTTGGGCACTAAGTTCAAGATTGGTTGTTGTGAATTTATATTGCGAGCTCATAGCAACTATAACTTTTTCCGTGAGGCTACTGAACTCTTTCCTTTATCTCCGTTTAGTTATATTCCCGACACTTCAACAGCAAAGGGAGTCTTCTTTGAATTTGTATTTATGAAGATCTTTTGTTTTCGCTTATTAACTTTTCTTCATTCTAGTTCCTCGCCTATTGTACATTCTGCTATTCCAGGAATTTTCCAGGGTTCTTTTATTGAACAGGACAATGTTTCTTATTCTATGGAATCAACAAAATCTAATGATATACCCATCTTGAGAGATGTCTCTGATTCATTTTCTGGTCATTATAGAGATTATTTACAACGTTGTGGTATTTTTGTTCCAAAGGATGGCAATTCTAGTGGCCCTGATGCATATGTTGTATTCCATAATGGACAAACACGTTATGTTGTTGGATTTTCATTCAAATTTTATCACAAAAGTAACTTGTCGAGAAATGTTATTAACAGGGAAACAGCACAATTTTTTAAGGGAGTTGTTTCCGTTTTGAATGACGAATCTTTTTCATCTGTTCAACTTCGTTTTCAGTTTGTGGTAGTATGTACTAGATATGATCAATCTGTAGGTTTCTCTACCGAAGAACAGAACATTGTTGAAGATGCAAGTGGTTTTGTGACTCAACATTCTTCGGGATCAACTTTGAATGAAAGTAGTCGATCATGTCTGCAATTGGTAATTGTTTCTCAAAGGAACCTTGAAGTGTATTTGGGAAGAGATAATGTCGAAACGTTGAGGAAAATTGGGGAAGCAAACCGAGGAGAGTTTTCTAAAGACTTTTCAGTATGGTGTAAAACTCTCTTTGAGTCGATGTCTAATGAATATGTTTCGCCTTTGGAAGCTGAGCAATCAACTGTTACTGTTAGAGTGGCTCGAAATATAAGACCGAGAACCAATGAGGAGAATAGGATGCAAATGGAAGGTTTTCAAAGTGCTATGCAAGTGGAAGAAGGTATAACAAGAAGCGAACAAGTATCAAGTGATATTACACATTTTGACTGGAAAGAGTTTCTTTGCAAGTCTGCGTTATTACCGGAAGAATTTGCCTCTCGTCATGCTTCGAGATTTTTACGCATATTTGGAGATAATCCTCAAGTGATTCGAAGAAAGTCACTAGAGTTGATGGGTATACCAGAACAATATATTCAACAAATTCTAATTGCAACGATGTTACTGGAAGAAAACACAGAAATGAAAGAATAATTAGCTGCTTTCAAATTTGTGTTATTTACGGACATTCTTTTTAGAACAATAATGGAAAGTTGGCTAGTAAGTGGATAGAGAGAGTGCTTTATGCTTTCATTCTAATTGAAGCTTACAACAGCAGCAAAGCTTAACTCTGACTTGTGAGCTTTTCTCTTTGTTTTCAGGAAAATGAGGAATAAAACTATGTTTTTTGGGT